ATTTTTAATGGCCACTATAAAATTTAAAATTACCTATGTGCTTGCATGTGTGTCTCACACTTTACTTCCAGTGGATAGCATTGGTCCCAGAGAGGTGGAAACAGGGTGCTAGAGAGGGAATACAACCTGTCCACAGTCACTGCAAGAGATAGTGCAAGGGCTGACATCAAATTCAAGTTTCCTGACTCCACCTCCATACGAGGGTCCTCTGGATACTGTCCTCCAGCAAGGATGCCGAGCTCAGAGATGCACGCACACTGCATACTCCGACATACAGTTATAAAGGACGTGAAATGGGAGTGAGGCGGGCAGGATCTGGGTGCTCTTTGCTTGGTAGAAATTGCTCCCCATGTAGTGATTACTGTGTTTTTCTAATTTATTTTAATTTTATTGTGTATCTGTTAGCATGAGATAATTACAGTCTTATTAAAAAAATCTCTTTTGCTCAAATGTGTTTTAAAATTTTCACAACAGAAAAAAAAGGCTAATTGAGGCTGTAAAAACTGCCAAGGTATGGACAGCTAATCTTCGACAAAGGAGCTGAGGGCCTACAATGGAGAAAAGAAAGTCTCTTCAACAAATGGTGCTGGGAAAACTGGACAGCCACATGTAAAAGAATGAAAATTGACCATTCTTTTTCACCATTTACTAAAATAAACTCAAAATGGATCAAAGACCTAAAGATTAGGCCTGAAACGATGTCTTCTAGAAGAGAATATAGGCAGTATACTCTTTGACATCAGTTTCAAAAGAATCTCTTGAGACACCATAACTCCTCAAACGAGGGAAATAGTAGAAAGAATAAACAAATGGGACTTCATCAGACTAAAGAGCTTCTTCAAGGCAAGGGAAAACAGGATTGAAACAAAAAAACAGCCCACTAATTGGGAAAAAATATTCACAAGTTACTTATCTGACAAAGGGTTAATCTCCATAATATATAAGAAACTCACACAGCTCAACAACAAAAAATCAAACAACCCGATCAAAAACTAGGCAGGGGACATGAACAGACATTTCTCCAAAGAAGACATAAGGATGGCCAATAGACACGTGAAAAGATGCTCATCATCACTAATCATCAGGGAAATGCAAATCAAAACTACACTAAGATATCACCTTACACCCATTAGATTGGCAAAAATATCCAAAACCAAGAGTGACAAATGTTGGAGAGGTTGTGGAGAAAAAGGAAGCCTCATACACCGTTGGCAGGAATGCAAACTGGTGCAGCCACTATGGAAAACAGTATGGAGATTTCTCAAAAAGTTAAAAATAGAAATACCTTATGACCCAGCCATCCCACTATTGGGTATCTATCCTAAGAACCTGAAATCAGCAATTCCAAGAGTCCCATGTACCCCTATGTTCATCGCAGCATTATTTACAATAGCCAAGACATGGAACCTAAGTGCCCAGCAACTGACGATTGGATAAAGAAGATATGGTATATATACACAATGGAATACTACTCAGCCATAAAAAAGGACAAAATCGTCCCATTCACAATGACATGGATGGACCTTGAGGGTATTATGTTAAGCAAAATAAGCCAGACAGAGACAGACGAACTCCGTATGACTCCACTCATAGGTGGAAGTTAACATATAGACAAGGAGAACTGATCGGTGGTTGCCAGGGGAAAGGGGGGTGGGGGGAGGGCACAAAGGGTGAAGTAGTGTACCCACAACATGACTAACAATAATGTACAACTGAAATTTCACAAGGTTGTAAACTATCATAATCTTAATTTAAAATAAAAAACTGCCAAGGCATAAACTGTAGCAACAAAAATTTCAGTGATAAAGAACTGCTAAGGGATTAGAGCAAATTAATTTTTAGCGAGTAACACTAGGTGCAAAGTGGCTAGAGTTACATCTTCTGGTTGAAAGAAACCGTCCACATGAGTTATATTTGCAGATTTAAAGCATTGCTCCAATTACGTCCTTTTCTTAGCTGGGAAAGTCAGAAATCATTGGGAGAAAGTTCAGATCTCTTACCTAAAAAAATGTACACACACAAAATCTTTGAAATTGCAAACAATTTCAAAGGACTGATGTGCCAGCCTCTGTCTTCTGACTTTTAGATCCCCAAGATGGAGCCTAAGAACCTCTCCATCCCAGCTGAGTGCCCCTCCTTACCAATTCTAAGTGGTAAGTGATAAACGTCAGGTTAAAGGTGCACCATGTGCCTGTTTAATGGCTAGAGATGACTGGAATAAATACATACAGAATGTAACTATCTCACTGGAAAGAAGAGACTCTGTCCTAATATTACTGGTAAGAGAAACTGAAAATAAAGTCTTACTGACCTAAAAAAAATAACAAAATTTATAGGGAAAAGTGAAAGCAACATTTAGAGGGAAATTTACACCTAGAAAAGAAAACAATTTAAAAACTTCCACCTTGAGAAACTAGAAAACGAAGAGCAAAATAAACCCGGAGTAAGTAGAAGAAAGAAAATAATAAAGATCAGTGTGGGAGTAAAGGAACTAAAAAACAACAAACAAGAGGGAAATTGAACATAGTCAATAACAGCTTTTTTGGAAAAAAACACTAACGTTGAAAAATCCCCAGTGAGACTGGTCAAGAAAATAAAATTAAAAAATTTATGAATGTGAGGTTATGGCTAAAGTTTCTACAAATATCACAATTTTAAAAGGAAATGTTATGAACATCTTTATGTGAATCAATTCAACAATGTAGATGTAATGAATTTTATTTGAGGAGAACAGCTTATTAAAATGAATGCAAAAAATAGAAAATCTATATCTATGTCGATTAAAAACATGAATTGTCAAAGTCCTCTTTAGAAGAAAATACCAGGCCCAAATTGGTTCACTGCTATAGTCTCTCAAGCATTTAAAAAAGAAATAACACCAGTCCTACAAAAATCTTTTCATGGGGCCGGCCCCGTGGTGGAGTGGTTATGTTTGAGCACTCTGCTTCGGTGGCCCAGGGTTTCACCAGTTCAAATCCTGGGTGCGGACATGGCACTGCTCGTCAGGCTGTGCGGAGGCAGCATCCCACATGCCACAACTAGAAGGACCCACAACTAAAGATACACAACTATGTACCAGGGGGCTTTGGGGAGAAAAAAGGAAAAATAGAATCTTTAAAAAAAGAAAAAAAGAGAGCAAACAACCTGAATAGACCTTTTCCAAAGGAGAAATACAGATGGCCAACAGGCACATGAAAAGATGTTCGACATCACTAATTTTTAGGGAAATGCAACAAAAGGCTACAATGAAGCATTACCTCATGCCCATGAGAATGGGTACTATTAAAAAGACAAGAAATGACAAGTGTTGGAGAGGATGTGGAGAAAAAGAAACCCTTATACACTGCTGGTGGGAATGTAAACTGGTGAGCCACTATGGAAAACAGTATGGAGATTCCTCAAAACACTGAGTACAGCTATTCCCTTTCTGGGTATTTATCCAAGGAACATGAAAACACTAAATCAAAAAGATTTTTGCAACCCTCTGTTCATTGCAACATTATTCACAATAGCCAAGACTTGGAAACAACCTAAGTGCCATCAACAGACAAAGAAGATGTGGTGTATTAATACAATGGAATACTACTCAGCCGTAAAAAAGGATGAAATCTTACCATTTGGGACAACATGGATGGACCTTGACGGCATTATGCTAGGCAAAATAAGTCAGACAGAGAAAGCCAAACACCATATGATTTCACTCATATGTGTAAGATAAAACAACAAAAACAATGCTAATAAACAAGCACATAGATATAAGGAACAGATTGGTGGTTACCAGAGCAGAAGGGGAGCAGGCAGAGGGCAAAGGAGGAAAAGGGCACATGTGCATGGTGAGGGATGGAAACTAGACTTCGGGTGGGGAACATCATGTAGTCTCCACAGAAATCGAAATATAATAATGTACACCTGAAATTTATATAATATAAACCAGTTATCTCAATAAAGATATTAATTAATTAATTAATTAATTAAAAAATAAAAGGCAATGGCTGGAAACACTTCAAATGTCCCTGAGCAAGTACAAGGATAATGGAAACTGTGGTTTATTCATACAATGGAATATCACTCAGCACTAAAAAAGAGCAAACTACTGATCGAAAAACATGGAAGAATCTGAGACTTTTTACTAAGTGAAAGAAGCTGGACACAAAAGGCTACATACTGTATGATTCCATTTATAAAAATTTTAAGAACAGATAATATTAATCCATGGTGATAGAAATAAGGAAAGCGTTTATTTTTGAGGGAGTCTTGCCTGAAAAAGGGCACTCGGGGAATTTCTGGAGAGATGTAAATATTCTGTATCTTAATTTACATAGATTTGCCAAAACTCACCGAGCTGTGCACGTAAAATCCGCATCCTCTTCCACAAAGCGGGAATGCCTTTCGGAAGCCCCCGCTGGAGTCCTGAGAGAGCCCCAGCGCTCTGAAGGCGCTTCGAACCTTAAATGGCCTTCGTTTGCTATTTGTTTAGCTCAGCTCAGAGAACACAGTGAAAAGGTATGCGTTCCCTCCCCCAGAAGTTACAACAGGTCATCTCAGGGGACCAGGGGCTTTTTTTGTACAAAGTTTCCGGTATCCCAGAACAGGTCTGCTTTCTCTGGCTCCTTACACCCTAAAATCAGGCGACTGTGTTGGGAGGCCGTTGTAGGGCCATCCCCTGGTAACAACTTCCTCCTTATATCTTGCTTCTATGCCGCTTCTGTGGTCTCTGATACTGTCGCCTGCAGGCTCACTACTATAAGGAGTGGAGAGAAGCGTGTTGTCTTTGGTAAGAAAAATCCTTTGTCGCCGCACAGGAAGCGGACCTGAGATTTCCTCCCAAAGGCCTTTGCTGCAGCAGCAGATCAAAATGCTAAGCAAAGAAAGACCTCCTAACGGAGGAAGGAGATGCAGAGAGGTAAACTGTGTGCCTTTGACGCCCACAGGTGACCTGCAGTAGTTCCAACCTGCCGGCAGCGCCCCTTGGCTCAGGGCCCTCGCGCTCCTGGACTCACCTGGTGCTGAGGACCAGCGCCGGCAGCAGAGGCGGCAGGTAGAGCGCCGGGCTGAACTGCATGCTGTCGCCTGAGGGGGCCTCCTTCCCTCGCTGCCTTCGCTCTCCCTCCTCCAGGTCTTGTCGCTCCCTGGTGCTCGGGTCTGTCCCAGGCCGGCGATGAGACCTCTCCAGCGGCGGACAGACAGAGACAGACGAATTGACCGACGCCTCACAAAACTAAGAGGTGGGAGCGTGGAAATCAGCTCTAGGAGTGATGTCACCGGCGGCCTAGGAGAGCCCGGCCCGGGATCGTTCGGCGCCGCCGCTCCCGAGCCCGGAGGGCGCGTTGTCACTCGCTCTGGAGGCGGCGCGGGGAGAGGGAGGGGGCGCCCAGCGAGGGCCCCGCGCGCTCGGGTCACCGGGCTGCGCTCTGGTTCCCGGCTGCACACCCGCCCGAGGCTGATTATTTATCCCATTTCTTCCGAAGTTGGGAAGGGGCCAGACCGGGGCGAGGAGAGAAATCTAATTTGCCAGTATTGAACCTGAATACTCTGCGGGAGATGAGACTGAATTCACTGGGAAAGATGATCAGATGCTCAGAGTCGCAGGCAGGTGTCCCGCACCTGATTACACAGTATTTGGAAGAACAGTGTTCTAGAGACGGCATTTAAAATATTGTTTTGATTAAAAGCGCACGGCGATCTGCCTGAGGCAGGAGCTAAAGGGGATGAGAGAACTAGGGAGCAGGAGTGAACAGCATCCAGAAAAGCACACTGAGGGCAAGTGGCGTTTGCTAACTCCAAAACGTGGGTTCCTTTTCCCAGATGAGGCTCATCACGCGTAAACAGTTGAGTAGAAAAGCATCAGTAATCAACAAAGAGGCGGCAGTGGCGGACTGGGGTTATGATGTTTGTATTTTTTTTAATCTGTCCCAAATTTCTTGTAAGAATGCAGCGGTCGATGACCTTCATTTTGAGAAAAGTAAATAAATTTGAAAAAATAAATCTCATCTTTTTTATTTTCAAGTTTTTATTTTTTGAAGCAAATGTACATCCTCTCCTTTTTAAAGACTATTTTGAAGAAGGGCAGTTTTGTTAACCCATTGTTTTCTATCTTTTAATGAGATTTAAATTTAGAACATAAATATGGAGCAGACATAATGTCTTTAATAGCCCAGGTCATTAAAATATATGAGTAGTTTTGCAAGCTGGATGCCTGCCCTTGTGTAACAGTAGAACCACAACTCATATCACTAAGAGCAGACAAATCAACTCCCACGTGAAATGCATGTTATTTGGAAGGAAAAATGACAGCATAGTTTGTTAAAAATAGATTCTGGAAAGTTGTACTTCCAGGAAGATGGAGACTTTCCTCTTCATTTAAAATTTAAATGAAATTTTAAATAACATTTAAAATTTTAATGTTAATACATTTAGATGTAATTTCCTTTAGTCTTCTCACTAAATGCAAATAAAACATTGGACATTATATATAAAAGAAACATAAAAAGACTCCTAAAGGCAGAGACTACTATCTAAGATGAAGATGTGTGTAACAGGAAATAACACTGACTGTGTACGTTTTTGTTTCACAACATGTGTATGTGGTTATCCTATGTACTCATTACAGAAGGTAAGTTACCAGGAATTTTTACCAATATTCTTTTTCCTGGAAACGATTGTCACAGAAAGATCAGGTTTGCTCATGTTCACTAAATTATTAAAATAGTGCAAATGGTACTCGAAGTTAGTCTGCATCATTTCAAAATTTGCACTTACTTGACAAATATTCTTTTTTATGCTACTGATGAAAGAAAAGATTTGCCCCACTGTAAATTATATTAGTTTCTGCTAGACAATCTAGCATTAGACACCAATCCTTATCAATCATATTAACCCAAGAAATATCAGAATGAGCTTTTCTTAGACTTCACACAAAGTCAGTCCTGAGTCTGTCATTTCATCAAGTGTCCCTAAATAACTCTGAAATTGTTTGGTCTGTTATCCATTTCCTGCAAGCAAAAAAAAAAAAAAGGGGGACATCTAATTTGGAATTTGGAAGATCATATAGACTGTTGGGAAAGAACGTTTTGGAAGGTGAACTTAAGTGAGGTTTTGGAAATTCTTGCAATTTTAGAGGATCAGTGAATTATATCATGAATTCTGATACTGCTTTGCCTCTCAATGGAAGTCTTCTCTTCTTGGGGATTTTTACGGCCATGACTTTTCATCATCCACGACAGTCTCACCCGCCAGTCATGGAGAGATGCAAATCCATAAGTGACCTTATGGCTTCAAAGGATTGGTACTGATGTTTTAAAGATCCAACTGCTACAGGATACTCAGCAGACAGCATCCATACTACATTGAGTCCAAAACAGCTGAGCAACAGCCCTTTGCAGAATCTACACCCTGGTCTGGATAAATGATATCAGGACAATCCAAAAAATTACACTGGGAGCCCACTCTCCAGAATTTATAGGATTGGGAACCACAATTACATCAAGCATGACTTCACTGTAAATTACTCACCCTAAGGAGTATGACTTGACTTGAGGAATGACTGAGTACATAATATAGTTAGGTTTGGCCCTGGCTTTCCCACACCTATTCTTTTGACTTACCTCTTCTTTTACAATGAATTTTATTCATTCTCTTACTAAACATTTATTAAAAACCTGATGTACTGCATATTTTACAGCATAAGTTGTAACTTAATTGCCCTATAGAATTTAACCAGTTATATTACTTGTTAAATTCTACTGAATCGGAGACCTAATTGATTTTGTTTGTTAATTTTCAAGAGCTGATTACACTCTTTCACAAGGAGCAGTAACTTCTATATTATTGTTTTCGTGTATAGGATCTTATTTAATGACCATATGGGGTGGACAAAGGAGACTTGGAAGTTACATAAATCTCTCAAGGTCACACAAGTAAAAGGTGACAGCCTGACTTTAACCCACATCAATACTTTTTTTGTTTTTGTTTTCATGTTTTAAGCCTGAGGTCAATAGTGTATTAATTGCAGAGGTTTGACTTCAATCTCTGTCCAGTCTTATTTTTGGTTTTCTACATATCACACTTCCTGTAGTAAACTGGCTTTTCTGCTTATACCACTCTCTCTCTATATATATCTATACACACATGCATGTATATGCATATGCATATATACACACATATATGCATACACATTATATATACATTTATATATATTTATATTTACATATACATTATATAAACCAAATAGTGACCTAAACTTATTTCTTTAAGATTCTTACTTAGATTAATGTTCACCAAATATTGTAAGTGCCTAATTAGAGCTATAATACCTACTACTCCTAATAAAGCTACACAATCAAGACCTTATCTAAGCTTATCTTAAGCTCTTCCAATTTAAAATTTTTACAATGAAAAATGTTGATGTGGCACTTCACCAGTTTCTCCGTCTTTAAAACCGTCTGTTTCCAAGTTTTATGGAAGACACTATCTTGTGTTTTGTTTTTGTTTTGTTTTATTTTGTTTTAATTCACTCACTTAGAAAACCTACAGTATGAGAATAGCATTGAAGAAGACATTCGTACTCACTATATCAGTTCTCCATTGATAGATTGAGTTACGCAGTTGCTTCAACATTTCTCGTTACTCATCCACAGAACCTAGAAACGAAGTATTGTGTGTTGCAGATCTTTGAGGCCTGTGCTCCAGAGCCCCACATCAGGAAATGTAAGGGGTCTGACTCACACTGTGGGAGTCACACGACTCATGCTATCAGACCCCCAAAGGTGCCTCTGCTCGTCTATTGAAATCAAAGCTGAAGTCTCAAGCAAAATCCACCCCAAGGCACCTTCGCACAAACATCTTTATCACCAAATACTTGATGCCCAAGTATTTTTAAGTGACTAAGAAATAAGCGAGTTGGTGTAGTGTATGTGAGTGTATACATATACATACATGTATATTCATATATTTTCATTTGTAATGTATATATGTGTTTATATATACACATAGTATATAAACCATACTATATAGATATAAATAAATAATATATATATATAATGGACACCAAAAATACATTTTTGTCTTTTGCCTGTCCAGTCTGCATTATCATACTTCTAATATAAACACTGATTTTCCTTTGAGGAAAAAGAATCCTCATCTTCCTTAAGTCCTTGAGTTTTCTTTGTTTATTTGTTTGTCCTTATGGCTTTATTGAGGTATGACTAACACATAAAAATCGTATACATTTAGATTGTAAAATGTTATTTTTTAAGGGTGCACAACGTGATGATTTAATATACTAATACATTGTAAAATGATTGCCAGAATCAAGTTAACACATCCGTGACCTCACATAGTTCCCATTTCATGTGTGTGTGGTTAGAATGCTTAAGATCTATTCTCTTAGCAAATTTTAAATATATACTACAGTATTATTAACTATAATCGCCATGCTGTGCGCTAGATTCTCCTGCACTTTAAATGGGGTTAAAGATACTGCCAATTTTTAGAGGTACGTGTGTATCTCAATCCCTGCCAATTGGCATATTTTCTCTCAAGCCATATAGATAGGGTCAGGTACAGACTTCTGTGAGGATGGAAAGAGGTGTCATATATGTAGATTCGTAGTACAAAAGCCCACATAAACTATCCCATCAGCCTTTGAAGACTCTCCAGGCCACATTTGAAAGTCCACTTTATTGTTTCTGATTTCTGTGAAGTTGGAGAGTGATGGCAGCTGTCTAGTCCATTTCACTTTTCCTGTACTCTTTATGACTTGTGATTTCACCCCTAAGCAAACCTTGTGTTCATTTGATTAAATGAGCCCTCAAAGTTCAATTACCATGCTAAATCCTCTTTTACAGTTTAGTTTTTGTTTTTATGATCTTTAGTTGGAGACTATAAATACTGGGATTTCTTATGTTTCTGTGCATTGCCTCATTGGATTATCAAAGGCACATTTCTGTTTATTGGATTTTATCCTGTGGAATGATTGTAAAATCCATGAAACATTTAAGTCTATATCTAAATCAGCTCTTTATTTTTATTTGATTATATGTCTTACCTTTCCATCCACTGCACTTCATTTCCTTGCTGTCTAAAGAAATCAGGCTGCCCATAAATAGCCAACTGGAATTCTACTGACGTCTCAGCCATTCATGGAAAAAAGTGAAAAGATTCAAATAGGGAATGTACCTCTTTGAAAAGAAATGATTGAACAAGGTTTTGGTGAAAGTGAATACGACATAATTGACAATAAAACTTGGTGTTTATAACACTCTGACATTTTATGCAAGACATAAAAGCAGTACTGTTACATCGTATGGAAAATGAAGCACAAGGAGTTGAAGTAACATCCCCAAAGTCACCCTGAATGATCATCATTGAGCCGGGATTGTGATACAGAACTACTGAATTCAATTTACTGGTCTAACTACTGTAACCCCTTTGCAAGCATTCTTTTCATTGAGTGAAGCTATGTGTTAGGCATTTTGCTAGGTGTTGTGGGGAGTACAGTGTTCAGTAAGACGTAACAAGTCACAATGTAG